GTAAGGAATTAACTTTTCAGCTAGAATTAGATGAGAAAAGGTTTAAGAAAGGAGAAATTCAGCAATCTTGACAAGCTAATAACAGGCTTTTGTTAATCTTGCAGATCAGTTCTAGGAAGTTAGAACCCTGTGGGGGAGAGAATATATTGTTGTAGCAGATCACATTTAGGCACCTTTAAAGCAGCTGAGTGAGTTTTTATTATAGAAAAAGGAGGGTTGAGAGCAATAGTTTAAAACCTTTGTATAATATTATATATATTTTTTGATTAATAAAAACAAGATTGCTTAAAAAAATAAAATAAAATAAAATTAACTATGCAATTATTGTTAAATGCAGACTTTGATGAGGCTAATAAAATATTTAATAAGCTTGAATACTATATTTCAAAAAAACTAGCAAATAAAGAAATAAATATGCTAACATGTGGAAGGTAATAATAGTAGATTTATAGTCAATCTGATATATATATATTTATATATTATTGTTTAATATGATATTTAGATACACTAAATACAATATCCTTATCTTGCTTATATGGCTTATGATTATTTGCCAATTACTGCATTCTTTATAGCTTCTGAGCATGTCTTTTCTGTAGACAAAAGTATGATTACAAGCAATAAATCAAGCTTAGTAGCTAAAAAAGTAAGAGTAGCACAATGTCTTTGGTAATATGTAAAATATCTATTGAAAAGAAAGCAGTGAATTTATTATAATAAGGTAATCTTTTTTATAGTGAATAGGCAGTTGTTGTAGAAAAAATTTATTACCAAAATTATAATTCTCAATTTAAGGTTTTCATAATATAGAAAATTTTCTAGAATTGTTATAAACATGAGATATAAATTGAATGAATAATCATAAGCTATTCATTTATTATCCAAAATCTTATTGCAATTTGTAATTTTTAACATTCTCATCAAAGATTGAAAATAATAAACTTTATTAAATAATTTTGAAGTTTGTTAATACTAGGGTAAAAAATTTGTTAAAATGACATAAATGTACTATATTAGTGTACTTGCTTTTTTTGTTATCTGAGTGTTTAAATTGTATACTCGATTATTTGAAATTTTTAAAGTAAATCAGTAAAAATAAAAACTTTTAGTAATATTTTTATCATAATAAAAAAAACAAATATTTATTATTCAGATATATTAATTAATAAAAATAAATTTTTAAAATTTTTTTAATTTTATACTATTCTAGAAATAATATACACTGCTTTGCTTAATTGAAAAAATATTTCTATTTACTTAATGATTTACATTCAGATTAAAATTTAGATACTACACATGCGAACAATATAATAAGTTATCAAACACTGTGATTTAACTAATTAATGATTGTAGCTACACACAAAGTCAAAATTTTACTAAATTATTTAAATATTTATATTTTTAGTAAAGTTGTTTAGAAGAAAACTTAGATCAATTAAAATATCGATTAACTTAGTAAATTTTGACTTTATAGATAGCTATGATTACTGATAATATTTACTTACTAGTGTATCTAATAATCAAATTTAGGCCATTCTCAAGCATCTAAATCAATTGATTAAGGAATAATCATGATAACGCTCAAGCATTACAATCAATAACGATATTTATAGAATTAAATGCTTGAGCAAACTCTTTTTCTTTTTTCATTATCTTTGTTATGCCGCCTAAAACATCTAAAAAATCCAATAAAAAAAATTCTGTTCAACCGACTGCCAATCTTCAGTTTCGGTTACATCAGCTTTTCCCTTTAATGATTTTACCAATATTAACCTTTTGTTGCAAAAATAACAACTTATGGAATCATTAGTGAAATTGTTTTGCAGCAACAAGAAGTAAAAAAAAAATTTATTAAGTTTATATGAGTGAAAAATGGAATAGCAGTATTCATTACGGTTTGGTTAAATGTTAAAAGATGGGTTGTATTAATTACGTTTATATCAAGGTGTCGATTATTTGTTTTAAAAGCTTCGAGCATTAAAGTGGTTATTTTTTAGACTGGTTAGAAATTTGTTATGAATTTTCTAGCGAATTCATTGTTTATTATGTTTGATATATTAAAATGTAAAACTAGTGCTTGAGCAAACTTTATCAATGATAAATTTTTGGAGAAAAAAGGTGGTTTGTATCTTGTTGATTTGTTGATCGAATTGGTAACTCGCTTTATTGATTTATTTAATTTCCGACTAATTAAAAATTTCCGTCCGATCCATTGAGTGAGGTGCTTGAGAACGGCCTTAATTGGCTAAAATGTTAGGCTATTAGTTAACAAATGTTAAATGACTTTCTATGATAATTTGAATATGAAATGACCCAATGACTGGTCACTAGTCATTTGTGTCATTCAGGTTATTTCAAGTTATTTACATCCTGTTTCTAAGAGCTAGTGCTACCGTATTGGCGCGTAATAACACACATGGGCGTTATTTCGAAACTCTCATTTTTTTAAAAATTGTTTTTTTGACTCAAAATAACGCCCATGCGCGTCCCAAAATAACGCGCCATCCTAAATGTACCATATTACATATTTTCGAGCCAAGTCCATTAATAAAAGTAGGGCTTCCTTTTGTAACCCAAATTTGTCAAAATGATTCTAATTACCGCGCATGCGCGTCCCAAAATAACGCACAAAGTCTCGAAATAACGCGCATATGCGCGTTATTACGCGCCAGTACGGTATATAATAATAGCTATATACTGATACACATATATGAATACTAAGATAAAGCAGTATATAAGTGATTATTAGTTATCTTTATATTAAAAATTTCGATCTTCAACGTGTTTGTCTGTGTCGCAATTCTTTTATAAAGTATTTGTTCTACATGATGTTCGAAAAGTCTAACATATACATCAGATTGAAATGCATATTGTGATTATTATAACGAAGACAATCAATATAAAATATTATAGTGTTTGAATTCCTTACAATTACATACGCTATTTCAATTAAAAAAAGAGATTTCGTCTAATTCACACATCGAAAGTCTGGCATTAAATAAAACGGCAAAATCTTTTTTTATTTTATAAATATTATAAGTGCATGTTTCTATTTTCATCGCTGAGTTAAAGATTAATACAAAGATTATTTTTAGTACCAAATTGAATAATTCTTATTGAACATATTAATTGGATATATTATTAAATGAAAACCAATAGATTAGGTGATGGAGTTCCTAATCAAATACCTAAAGAGCTGTTGGAACGATATTTATAATACGAACTTTCTCATCCTAACACTAATCATAAAGAGCTGTTAGGATAATATTATAATACGAACTTTCTCATCCTAACACTAATCATAAAGAGCTGTTAGAATGATCATCCTATCACTAACCATAAAAAGAGGTGTTATTATGATTTTATAAGATGAACTTTCTCATCCTTTAAAGAGCTGTTAGAATGATAACTTACATGATTGTTGTCTTTTTTTTTTTTTTTTTTTTTTACATATCGTGAATTATGCAAGAAAATTTGGTAAACGTAGGTTATTTACCTTTATCCTGCAGGGTATGGTAATAAAGATGTTTAAATTGCCATCACTACGATAGATCTTATATTTTTAAATTAGTAAAAAATGGTTTAATTTACCTGTCATTTAATGACGCGTCTAACATCTAGTAAGCTGTTATAATTAATCTTTTAGAAATCCGTTCCTGAGCTACTTTATTCGTTAATTGAAGTATCTATTTAGAGTACCATGTAATGATATGCTAAAATAACTCATGTTGAACATTTGAGGGAGTTCTCAAGCATCACTGGACTTAATGAAAAATCTGATTTGGTTCAATTGGCCAACCGGATTCATTGACAAATTCATTGGGAAAGGTGTTTGAGAACACCTTAAGTAATACAGTAGTAACACGTAAATATAAATGTTGCTAGGTAAATAGCGGTAAATTATAAATTTTTTTATTTACAAGTTACTCTCAACATACTATTGAATGTTTGTAAATTTACCATTTAATGTATCAAGTGCTTACAATGTCAAAAGTAGTTTTGTATTAATTAATAAAAGCATTTTGTTTAATGCACACCATAAATAGATTAAGAATCATTCTGGTAAGTTATTGTAGATATATGTATCCTCTAGGACGAAAAAGTGTAAAAATTAAATAATAAAATGGAAAAAGAAGAATTTTTAGAGCAAAATATGTAAATAATAATATAGGAATAAGCAATAAACACACAGCTACAAGCAAATACTTTAAAAAAAAATAAATAAGCATTTTAAAATTTAAAAATATAAATTTACAATGAAATACAAGTATTTTGGTTATTTCTAAAATTTTTAGAAATATATTAATCATTGAATTATAATCATTATCAAATGCAAGTACTTCATATTCTTCAGCAATTAATTCGTTTGAATTAGATATACTACGTTCATAAGCTCTCTGGTAACTAAACCAACGATTTGAATCTTTCATACACAAATCTGTTACAAATGAAGGTCCGCATGTCTTATTGTTCCAAATAGCCCTATCTTTCCTTTCAGTTTTTACCCTACTCAGTATTGGATTTGATTGATCAGTAAATGAAAAAATAAAACTATTTAAAGTTTTACTATAATATGGCCTCTTTTCTAATGTAAAATATGGTGTTGAAAAAATAAAACCAAGGACTTGAGCATCAGCGCCATATTCACGAAATTTAAAAATTTTTTTATCAATTATTTTAGTAAAACTATTCCAGTCTGTAGGATTATATCCACCTATTAAATCACCTCGAATTGTTTTAAGTATTACGATAGTTGGACCTTGAAAATCACATAATCTATGAAACGTATCAACATTAAATCCATCTCTGCTTCCACGTAATAAAAGCTTAAGTTTATAAGGATCAGTTATACTAGTATAGTAATTATTGTCCTTTTTATCAATCCAGCTTGAAATAATAGCTTTATTCTCATTAGTAATTAATCTGGAGCATCTTCTTGGTGGAGTTTTAGATTTATTAAATGTATTAGAGTCTAAGTGGTAACGTTTAATTTGGTTGTTAATATAATTTTTAGGAATGTGATAATAACGGATTAAAGGGATACAGCAAGAAATAGTTTCTTTTAATGTCATGAAATGCTCGTCTGACCAGCTTAATACGTTTTCATCAGACCAATTTGCCATATCATCATCAAGAAATTTCGAAATACCCCATTTAATCAAATAATTCCAAATTTTTATTTCCTCAAGTTCAAGATCATCATTTTCTAAAAGACAAATCATGGCCACTTCATTTAATAAAGATAATTCAGTTGAATCAAAAAGAGAATAAGGATTTCTAATGGTAAAATTTAGAACAAGTTTGTATAATTCATGGAAATGATTATGGCGGCAAGCAACATTAAGCGACTTTACAAGATTAGTTAATAACCATGGAGAAAATTCTTCGATTAAACGCTTTTGAGCACATTCAGCAAGATCGAGAAGTTCAAGTTCATCAGATGCGACTAATATATTTAAAGAATCTTCAGCTGATGTATGCAATATATTTTTTCCTGTTAAAATATAGCTTAAATAAATAATAAATTAATTTATTAGCAAAGAAATGTTATTAACACATAATTATAGAATCAATAGAATGAATGAATTTGTTAAATTATAAAACTTACTCAAGAATTAACTTAAAAATCTTAGGATGAATATTTGGCTTTGTAATAATATAAATCCCATGTTTTTGATTTTTCCATCGCTCTGATAGAGCTCTTTGAAAATAAAGTGAACGAGAACGTAAAACTGATGAATGTACACTAAATTCTTTAATATTCGGTTCGTTTCCTGCGATTATTTTTACATCTGAATTGCTATCTGATTGTATCCACATTTGATTCATTATAAAATAGATACGCACGTACGTACTGTACGTATGTACGGCGTAAGAAACCTAAAATTATAAAATATAAATAGTGAAATTAACGCCATTAGGTGTAACTTGATTACGCATGTATATGTTGCACCAGATGATTACGATAAGCAAGAAATTTAAAAACATAATCTCTATAGAAGAATGTAGCATATTAAAAAGCCAAATATTTCTTAAATTATCAAATTTAATAAAGCACTTAACGTATGAGTGCCGGCAATGGAAAATTTCGAACTGGCAATACTAAACTATAATTTCCGGTTCGGGGTTTTCCCTCGCCGGCACTCATATGCACTTTATTGATGTTAATAATTTGATTTTAATGATTATAATTTATTTCTATAAGGTATGCTTGATTAAATAAGCCAATAAAAATTTTCTAGCCAAAAAGGAGAGCTTCCTTTCTATTGAACAGCACCATTTATATTATATATATAAAAAAAAGACAATCTGCATGATTACATGAAAGAATTCATGATTGTGTAAAAAGTAGTCTTTCAAGTATGTAATGATAACTCTTTCTTCACAGTAATGTAAATGTAGCCCCATAACAGTTATATACAGCCAAACATGCGACTTTCGAATCACTGTGTAACATGCGAAACAAAATTGTCTATATCTTCTAGCGATGGTTTCTCGACAACTATCTGATTAATGTTAATAAATTATTTTTTTATTTTAATTATACTTGTTTGTAAAATCAAAATAAAAAATTTTATTGAATTTGACCTAGTAGTTATCGAGAAAACTTCAATCAAAGTTTTAAATATCTCGATATATACTGGGTCAAATTTTATGAAAATTTTTTTATTTTAATTTTACAGATTTGTAGAATTATGGTAATTTGCAAAAAGGATGATAGTGGAAAATTTCTTAGATTTTAATTCCCTATTGATCATAATTTTCAATCAATGACGTCTATATTTTATTCGGAATCTTTAAAATTCTCTAAGAAACGAAAAATCTACTAGAATCAGCCGATTTCTCATAATTTTACATTATGATCTGCAGAGGTCACACCTTTTTGCAAACTGCTATAAACTAGGGATGTTAAGTAGTCGGACTATTTCAGTTTTTACAGTACAATTTGTATGTAACCAGCTAGTTCGACTATGTTGGTTACATATAAATTGTACTGTAAAAACTAAAATAGTCTGACTACTTAAC